ATCCATCCATCCATCCATCCATCCATCCATCCATCCATCCATCCATCCATCCATCCATCCATCCATCCATCCATCCATCAGGTGACAGTATTCCAGACATATTTTTCTCCAGCCACAGTTTCTCCTGTGGATCCTGGGGTGCTCCCCGGCCAGACGCAAAATATAATCTCTCCAGAAGGTTTTAGGACTACCCTGGGTTTTCACCCCAGTGCCCAGGAGGCATCCTATTGAGATGCCATACCCACCTTAGCCAGTACCTTCTGACATGGAGCAGCCGCTGTACTTAAGATTCTTCTGGAAGTCTGAACCTCTTACCTTTCTGTCACTTGACTATAATATCCCAAGATACTTGAACTTCCTTGCAACTCCCTTGCTTGAGGCAACTTCTCAGTTTTGGGTTTTATAAACTGCTCTCACCTTTTCTGCTTTGTCTCTTATGTGATAAGATTAATGCCACTTATGTCTGACAGTCAGCACAGGAAACAGCTGACATATCTCCCTAAAGTTGAAAAAAACAAACAAAAACAAAACCCACATGAGATCCATAACGAATATATTTATATAACTGAAAAGAGAACATCTATCTCTATGTGAAAGAACAGGAGCATGACTTCCTCTCTCTTCTGTTAAATTTCCAGGAAGTCAAGGCTACAGTTTCTAGCACCTGTTTAACAAAAATAGCAGCATGCTCTTCCTCCAAAATCTAAAATTATTTTCACTACAGATGTTGCTACAGATTAAATTTATAGCCTCCCGTTTCCCCGTCTTCATTCTAAGGTCAACTAAACTAAGAAAAGCCGAAACGGGGTCCACAGGCCCACACAGCGTGGTACATCCTGTTTACTGCTAATGCTACGCCTGTACTTGCAAGTGCGGGTGGGACTTTTGTATCACCCCCTGATTAGGTGAAAACAGATGATGGTGGCAATTTGATCAAAACACTGCAGAGTTGGTTCAGCTTAACATTTTCTATCAAAGTGTCCGTTTGTTATTGATCAATTTGCAGTTAATACACCGTAGAATGACACTGACTGCTTCCTAACTCATCACTGGTGGAAGGCGTTTTTTCCCCCACTGAATAAGGAGACAGCTTTGTCCTAATAAACCGATCTAAATGTGGTACACGTCAGTGTGTTTTCCAGTCAGTGTGAGTGTGTGTCAGCCTGAAGAAAAACAGGGCATCTGTCACTTAATCCCACAGCTGTGAACTAGATCAGCACTTCTCACTCTCATTTAATTTTATAAGTTTTATTCTAATGAAGGAAGACGTACATTTTGCTCTTATGAAAAAAACCCATTTGCATTCATCAGCCGCTTTATTACACGATTTGCAAAATAAACGGCAAGTTTGTTGCAAACACATAGGCTCTAGTCTCCCTCACGCTTCCCAGGTTGCCTAGCAACCATGATACTAACAGCTGGAAACGTGTCATACAACTTTGTTTGACAGAAATGAAGGAGAACATATTTTGTTCATTTGTTTGTTTGTTTCTACAAGAGCTTTGTGTGATTTGATAAGTATCTGAGGCTGAGACCACAGGACAGTAAAACATGATTTTTGGGCTTCATTTCTGTACTGAACAGTCATTTAAGATTAGTTAGTAAATAACAATTAGCTAATGTTGTTCATGAGACTTAAGTCATCTCACTGTGGTAATGTAAATATAATATGGCCAATATTATGGTTATTATATTAATCATTAGGGGCAGCACGGTGGCACGGTGGTTAGCACTGTTGCCGCACAGCAAGAAGGTCCTGAGTTCCACCATCAGGCCGGGGTCTTTCTGTGTGGAGTTTGCATGTTCTCCCCGTGTTTGCGTGGGTTCTCTCCGGGTACTCC